AAAAACTTACTCTTGGTTTTTACCTTAATAAATTTATAAATTTTAACTTTTTATTTTATATTATAACATTTTTAACCATTTACTTTAATAAGTTTATAAGTTTTAACTCCTCACCTTATAGTATGACATTTTTAACCCATCACTTATACGAATTAAAGAAAATAACCCTCATTTAACCTCAAGATATAAAGTTTTGTTAATTTTGTTAGTTGATTGTTAAATCTATTAATTAACTATTAGCATCCGTTAACATTTCATTATAAAAAATATGAAATTTAAATTCAATTTTATTTGTTAGTTTCGTTGACAGAATACTAACAGAACGCTAATAGTCAATTAACAAAATTAACAGTCAACTAATAAAACTAGTAAAATGTTATAACCTAATTTTAAATAAGGATTATTTTATTCAATTCGTATAGATGAGAGGTTAAAAGCGTCATAAGATAAGAGGTTAAAGCATATAAATTTATTAAGGTAAAGGGTTAAAAATGTCATAGTATAAGATGAGGGATTAAAACTTACAAACTTATTAAGATAAAGGGCTACAAGTATGTTTTAGCCGAAAATACCAAGGGTAGAGGGAGACGCCAAGACGGCGAAGCCTTTAAGCTTCTGTCTCCATTTTCTTCTTCCTTTTCTATTGTATCGATTGCAATCTTCTTCTTTTAATTCCTGCAATATTCTCCAAAATCTCTGCAATTCAAAAATCTTGAAGCTTTATGCATCATATGGGTAGAGTCTAGTTGAATTCCGGAAGATGGAAGGCGATGATCGGGGTCCCAAGGTGTTGCCGGAAGAGACCCAGGTTTTGAATTCTAGGGTTTCTGCTTTATCCCTCAGGGATGACACCGATAACCCGAGCTGGGATTCGCCCAAGGTATTTTCTGTCTACTTATTGCTTTGATGGGTCTTGCGTCTCTTTCGTGAATAACGATTATCTGTGCATTGATTGAAGAAATTTGAGATTATGGTATTTCTGTTTGCATTTTGATTCAGCTTAGAGCTTGGTTTATCTTAGCAGCCGTTTGATGTATGTTATAAGACCGCAAAAGAACAAAAGGTTTCTCTTTTTAGCTGAACAAAAAGCTTAACCATAAGATGTTTATTTTTGCTATAGTATTTGAATTGTAAGGGGTGTGTGTGTGTATATATATATATATATTTAATGATAATTGTAAGGTGTGTGTTAGATGTCAAATTTGTCCAATTTTTAGGATTCTTTGTTTTGCCGCAAGTGTTAACTTTGCGGTTTTTGATGGGTGTATCACGGTTTTATTTTTAATATTTGCTTTGATTTGATGTGGTTTATAGGAAAATATGGTACTTGGATATAGGAAGATGAATTATGATTCATGTAGCCATGTCGCTGCTGATGACAACCAACAAATGAGTGTTTCTAAAGAATGTCATGCTAAGATACCACCTCACGTCCTTGAGGAGTCTAATGGTAAGAGAGAAGAGCAGAGAGCTGCTGTACAGCAGAAGCCTGGAAAATACTTCTTTTATGACTCCCCACTTTCTGAAGATACGGGGGTTTGGATACCAGTCTCCGTTCCACCTATGCTTGAAAATGATCATGACGAATGGGCCAGAGGTTTCCACTCAAATGGGGGTTACTTCCCTGATGGTGATATGGGGTGGAGCCAATACCTTGGGCAAGAGAAAGAGTTGACGATGTGGGATGTGATAGTGGAATTGATACTTGCAGCCCGTGGAAAAGTCAGTGCTTTCACTGCTGGTGATATTCATAACTTTTCATGGGTATCAAGTCATATACTAGAGCAAGCATGGCAAGAGATGGCTCAAACTCTGACTGAGGCTAATTTTGGTAATGTAAGGGAGATTCTTGAAGCAGAGCCACCAAAGTGGTTGGCTGACAGTGCTGCCTCTGCTTGTATGTTGTGTGGGGTGAGGTTTCATCCAATCTTGTGCTCGAGACATCATTGCAGGTTTTGTGGAGGAATATTTTGTGGTGAATGTTCTAAAGGAAGAAGCTTGTTGCCAGCAAAATTTCATGTTTCTGATCCCCAACGTGTCTGTGATGTATGCTGTGTGCGGCTTGAGACTGTCCAACCATATTTAATGGACCAGGTAAGCCATGCTGCTCGTCTGCCAACCCAAGATGTAACAGATCTTAGTACTTTGAGATCCTGGGTTAATTTTCCATGGGGACAGTCCATGGATTATGAAATTTACAAGGCCACAAACACGATCCGAGGTTATCTCACTAAGGTAACGGTTTGGCTTAAGAGTTATATGGCACTGATATTTAGCACTTTCTATAAAGTACTTTCCTATACAAAAGAACTTACGGATTCTTTCTGTAACCAATATCATTTTTCATTCCAGTGAATTATCTTTTTAATTTTCTTGGCATTCTCACTCTTTGCTTTATCTTTCGGACCAATGTTTGTCAGGTAGGCTCTTTGAAGCCTGAGAAATCAATTCCAGATGCCATACTTAGAGATGCAAAAGGCCTGGCGATACTATCAGTTATGAAAGTTGGGGTGATGGTTACATACAATATCGGAACAGGACTCGTAGTTGCTCGTAGAGAAGATGGCTCGTGGTCTCCACCATCTGCCATTTCTTCATTTGGCATGGGATGGGGAGCTCAGGTAAGTAATTTAGAGTTGCCAATGCCTTCTAATTTCTTGAATCTCCTGCTAGAATTATGAAAGACTCTTTATTTTTATTGCAAATGTCAATTTGTGAGGATTGGTTTTGGCATTACTTGAACAACTGTTTTCTTTGTAACATTTTCTGGTGAGAGCATACAATTCCTTTGCATTTTTCTGCTAATGATTAAGGCGGGTTTCCTATAACTTACAGGCAGGTGGAGAGTTAACAGATTTTATTATAGTTTTGAGAACAATTGATGCTATCAAAACATTCAGTGGTTGTGCACATCTTTCTCTTGGAGCTGGTTTGAGTGCAGCGGTTGGTGTTGTTGGAAGGGCAGTTGAAGCTGATGTACGAGCTGGTGATGGGGGTTATGCTGCTTGTTATACTTACAGTTGCAGTAAAGGTATTTGTCTCATTTATGCAATCTGTATCCATTTCCTTTAGGAAAAAAAAAGAAGAAAGAAGCCATCTATCACAATGGTGTTTTTCTTGTATTCATTTTGTTGATGTGCATGTGCAGTTGTTATGCTGTCATGTTTTATTTTGTGACTAATGGTTGCATTTCATATGCCAATTACATCGAATGATACTGTAAATTGTTGTCAATTAGATTGAAATCAGGGGTGCTAGTCTCTGAAGTGAGTTCATTGTTTTTGCTTCCAACATAAATACAAGCTTTTAAGTTTTATTTGATGCAGTACCATCTTTCCCTGCTTGCATAATTTTGCATGTGTAATGAATTCATGTTTAATGTATAATCTAAATTCTCCTGATGAATCATGCTGTGAAGACATCAGAGTCTTGAAAACTGATTAATGCTATCATTCTAAGAAGATCCTTTCTCTTACAATTACTGCAAAATTTGAATTCTTTTCAATTTGCAGGTGCATTTGTTGGGTGTTCACTTGAAGGAAGCATTGTCACCACCCGATCACAAGTGAATTCACGGTTTTATGGAAGCCAATCAATAACTGCATCAGATATACTACTTGGCACAATGCCTAGGCCTCCTGCTGCTGCAATTCTCTACCACGCACTTGAAGACCTATTTAAGAAGCATGAAATGGAAGTGCTGGCACTTGGCATTAAGGGCTTCAACATGAAGATGGGAATCCATTAAGCTATAAATATTTTTGTGCATAATCCATCAATCGCTTCTGCAGTATCATTCTTTTCTGGTTATACCTCAATGCCAGATTGGTGTACAGTAAAGCAATATAATGTTTGCATTAATTGGGATAATGAAGGAAAATGTTCTCCTTCAAAATGTACAGTGACAAGTATTTGTGGAACTACATATACCTGCTCGGGTTGTGTGTGTATATATATATATATGATTCAAAATTATTCAAATGGGTCAAAAGAATAAATTCGAAATAATCATTTTGTTCAAGTGATTCTACTTTAAATGTTATTATAGCTTTTTGTTCAAGTGATTCTACTTTAAATGTTATTATAGCTTTTGGAGCAACCCTTTCTTTAACATGCTGCAATGGTATCAATATGTAGGTAATAAAAGAATGGTTTCCATCCATATCCTTACTTCTAAGTTGCGACTTTTGATTCGTTACCTGTTTATTGAATCTTTATGGCCAGCCAATTTTGCATCCTCTGATTACATTGGCAAAGATTCATACTTTTGTTATAGTTGATATTAAACTCTAAAGCAGCTACTGAGTGCAAATGACTTAATGCTCTCTGAGAACTTGAAATAGGTAAAAGCTTGAGACCTCAATATTGGAGGTAAGATTGAGTTGGGTGGGGAAATATTTAAGAAAAGCGAGGTTTATCCCTATCACTTAATAGCCCACTTGTAAATTTACTAAAAAATTGCTAATATAGTTGCAACTAAGCAGTGGTGATGATTAACAAGGTAACCTCTAAGTGCACTACCACTAAAAATTTTGTCTTCGTTTTACCCATGTAAGCTTTAATGAATGGCCTTCTAGTGGAGGGCCATGGAAGTCTTTCAAAAAGAAAGTGAAAGTGTCCTTTGAAGTTCTCAAATTCTCATGGGTCAAACAATTGCCACTTTTTTCTTGAGTCATACCATGTGGGCTGAAAACCTGAAGGTAAAATGAATGGAATCACATGTTCAAACGCTATCACTTGGAAAAAGAGAACAGAAAGATCAGATATGGGTGGGTCTTCATTTTGTGAAAACATCATCATCCCACTTAACCTTTGCTTTTATACCACATTGCTTAGTTATCATGTATAATGAAAGTGAAAGTGTCCTTTGAATTTCTCAAATTCTCCTGGGTCAAAGAATTGCCACTTTTGTCTTGAGCCTTGACCTAGTGGGCTGAAAAACTGAAGGCAAAATGAATGGAATCACATGTTCAAACACTATCACCTGGAAAAAGAGAACAGAAAGATCAGATATGGGTGGGTCTTCATTTTGTGAAAACATCATCATCCCACTTAACCTTTGCTTTTAATACCACATTGCTCAGTTATCATGTATAATGTGTGCGCATGTATGTGTTTGAGGACGCAATCATTCAAAATCTATAATGCGCTGCTGTTTAAGATCTGAGCATCTAAAACTTTCTCCCTACAAAGATTGATATATCATCATTGCCTGATCAACCCAAAAAATGGACATGGAAACCCAGGAATGCAGGGGTAGCAATGAAAGATGGACCAAATTAACAGGGAAAACAAAATTTACCACGAAACAATGAGAATTTTTACTTTTTACGGCTCTTCCTATTTCCACAAGGAAGAAATAATACAACGAGTTCCATTCACATGATGAAATGCATAAAAGTTTCTCCTCCAATTGATACAGGGCTGTCATTGAGTTAATAAATGCAGAACCATTGCAACATCATCCGAACCATTTGGAAACCAAACAAAGTAAAATCTGTTCATGCTTTCTGCATTGCTTGATTTCATCCTTTCCCCAGGGACAGTTTAGATTATGGAACGAAAAGACAGAACATTGTAAAACATTGGACTCAGGAAAAAGCATTGGAACTGATATGTAAATTTTGAACATATGAATCCTATCCAATCACAAACCCAGAATCACACCAAACAACCAATACCAATGTCAATGCTATGACTAAGACTTTTGTTCCAAAAAAAGAAAAAAAAAAAGATGTAATAGAATGGAAGATTAACTGCACTAAAGGGCTGCTTGAGCTGTTTATATAAATTAATTTTTAATGGCTTAGAAGAAGAGAGCACGCATGCTCCTACTCACTGTACCGACTCAACTCTGTTACCAACCAGAAAATGCAGAATCTTGGATTTTTGACATGAATTCGAGTTCTTTCTCCTAAATGAGATGGAAGAAACCAAACGAAGACCCATCGATGATAATATTCTCACCCCCTTCCATTTAAGTTTTATCTGTTCCATAAAATAAATCATTAGAATACAGAAACAGCTAAAGAAAGAATCATGTGAAGTTCTCTTCATTTTCAGCTGGAAATCAATACCCAACTTACCTAGTTTTTGAGTTTCCAAGAGTAAGTTCAAGATCATCAGCTACACATTCCTCATGGATCCTCTCGCCTTCCCAGGGTTTCACCAACCCTGTAGTATTGTTGCCAAATGCAAACTCAGAAGCAATGACATCTGACATTGGAATATCCGACGTTTGATCAATGAATGCAGGAACAACAGGGGAGCAAGCTCCACTTTGCCCAGGAGTCCACATCCTTGAACCTCCAGCTGACAATACCTCCTCCTTAAAGCCGAATGGATTTCGCGAGACAAGGCTAAATGTAGGTGAAGATGGTCCACTTTGGGGAATTTCCAGTCTGGAAAGCCACCCTGACTCAGGGAGGACTTGACGGCCAGGACTAGGTGGAGTTGATGAAGGCAGTAAAGCATGGTGCTGACCAGCCCAAGCTGAGCCAGCTGTTTGGTCATCCCAGTCACTTCTGGTTCGAGGAGTTCGACAAGTGGGAGAGCTTAATGGTGGGGTGACCGGAGCACTTATCGACCCTCCAGCAACGCAAAGCTGGTTAGCAAGCCTGGATGAGGCTGATGATGAAGCAGATGAAAGGTTTTTTAGCCAAGGGATTAGGGAATTTGCATCAGCATTACCATTTGCAGTATAACGGCGAGATGAGACAGGGCTTGGGAAGGAAGATGAAGCTGGACTTGGATTGTAGGAAGCACAAGGACTCGGTTGATACGACGAGCATGGACTAGCTGATGCAGAACCTCCAACAATGTCCATGCGATCAACAGGTTTGCATCCCTATAGAAATGTAAAACATAAATGAATAATTATTCAGCAAAAATACAAAATACAGACACTACTACTGCACATAACTTTAATTAATGCTTTCATATAACATATGAATAAAAATAAAGTTATTCACGGGAATCTACCTACCACTACCAGCCTTCATTCAGACAAACGTTACATGCGTGCCCTTGTGACTCTTTGTCCCAAAATTTTTCCGTATGGCATTGGCATCCAGAAAACAAGTGGGCAAAACGGTAATTGCGACCCGACAAAACTTTGATTAAAGAATTTTTTAATTTTTTTAGTAATAAAGAGATATCATCAATGTCAAACAAAATATATGCTAGCATCATGCACCACCTAAACACGCCACCTCCCCCTCCCAACATTGTTCCTAAACTCAATCAAGAAAAACCCCACACGCTTTGCTGCTTCTATTAAGAAAATCAAAATCAATATAGTAAAAAGTGGAATCCAAGGGTTCCATTTGCCCCCCCTTTTTATCTCCTTATTTATTGATACTTACATGAGAAACTTAATTGAAACCTTCCTAAATCTTTTAATTGAACAGAAAAATCCGGGAATATCGGGATGGAAAAACAAAAACAACCCGACTGCAATGACCAAAATGACCTAAGTAGCACTTTCGACTTTTTGAGAGGAGAGAAAAGGAAAGTGAAAAATTATCCGACTGCAAAGTTTTCACCAGAAAATGCAGAGATCTCCGGAAGAGGCTGAATTAAATAAAAAAAAAAAGAAGGTATCGAAGTACGTAACATTAACAATTGAATGAGGTGTTCTTCCCCTTTGGGAGATTGATTGGGCCTAGAAAATGACGGAATTACCCCGCTTGATAAAGAAATGCTGAGGGTGTTACCGTCTTTTGCCTAAAGCCACAGGGCTCTCTGATCAAAGCCTTGCTACTGCTTCGTCTTCCGTGTTAGGATCGAAGCAGCCAAGCGGAAGCGAATCTTTTTTCCGCCCTTCGTGCTTCGCGCTTTTTCCTCCCAACAGACTCTGTTACGATCTGACGTACGCCGGAGGCCGTTTCGAATTCAAATCTAAATAAACCTCAACCGTCGATCATAAAACAGAATCGAGTTCCAGCGATAACAACCACCGCGGCGCATCTTGCCATCGTTTGTATACTAAGCAATTTTTTTTCAAAAATAGAAAAAAAAAAAAAAAAAAAGCCAATCGGATAGATTTTGTTTTCTATTGTTAATAGGAGAGAGTGATTCTGTGATTGATTTATTGATTTGATTACCTTTCTGTAAGTAGTACCGTCTTCCTCCACCGTCCAGCCGGCCTCTTTGCAGAGAGCTTTCAATACTTCGTTGTTGTCGCAGTGCTTAGGAAGTTTGTAATTCCCGTACATTCGGAGCCCTGTGAAGATCTTCGCCGCGATCGCTCTCCGCCTCCTCTCTCTCCGCTTGTTATTCTCCCTCTCCTTCCACGTCGGCATTCTCGTCGCCGACGTCATTTTCCCGACCTCCGAGCTACCACGAAACCTCCAACACGACGCCGATTGTCACTTCATGAACTCAGAGCTTTCTCGGGAAAACTTCTGGATATTTTCGCCAGAAACAAACCGAGAGAAAAGAGGAATTTTCTTTTTTCTTTTTTTTTTCTTTTTTTTTTTTTCTTTTTGTCTATCTTTTTGTGTGTGCTGAATCGCGCTGGCTTGGGGTCGAGGGGAACCGAGAACGGTGAGCTAAATACCAGGATGAGCAAGTATGATTGGCCATGCATGGGTGTTAAAATTACAAGATAGCCACTATTGTTGTGTCTTTATTCCGAGATCACGGGGGAAACACGTGTTTGTTCTTTCCAAAGAGGTACTGAGAGCCTGACTGTGGCACGACGCACGACGTTGCCGTTTTGTTTGAGTTATGTAGTTATCATGTCTCGGGACCAATTTGTTTCGGTAACTTAAAATTAATTTTTTTAAAAATAATTTTAATAACAAATATCATTCACATAAAACCAGATTTAAAATTTAAATATTAAAATTAAGGGATAAAAAGATATTTACTTATCAATATATTTAATTTTTAGATTATGAGAATGTTTTTAATTAATGATTTTTACGCTTTAATTTAACAATTTATAGCTTAAATTAATATAAATTATCTTTTATAACCTACATGTTCAAATCCTATCGATACTTGACTTAAATATGTATGAATTTACTTTCACTATAAAAAAAAAAAAAAAAGAAGATAATGCTTTTTTTTTTTATGTTTTCCGCCTAATATCTTGGGTTTCGTTTCGATTATTCTGGACTCGACTAGCTGTGACGCACCAGAATGGTGGGTGGGTCTCCCAATGAAGGCTATTGCGTACACAAAATTTCAAACTCGAGACCTTACTTAAGCTGAAACAAATCACTTGCCACTTGATCCAACCCATCGTTGGTACAAGAGAATGCTTTTAATTAGTAGTTGTTGCTACCTTCCCTCAATTTAATTTCTGCGTTGTAAATTAAAAAGGAAAAGGGAACGCAATTTCTAGAAGGTAAGGTATATGGTCCAAAACTACAGGTGTGGCGTTCATACAAGGGTTTGGTATACGTTACCGTCTAATGGACTCGGGT